AATTTAAAAAATAATTATTTTTATTAAAAAGCAACGGACAGTGTGACAAATGACGTCGCTTTTTGGAGCGACGCCGTCCGTTGCTTTTCTGTCCGTCGTATTTTAGCAGTTTTTTAGTAGTGGTAGTCGAATTCAAATACATTAATTAAGCTTCTTATGAAGTTTGTTTCATTCCTCAAAGTTCTCTTCCTCCTATTTCGTGGACCTTAATCTTTACTATAAGTCATAGTGATTCATGTAACTATGACAATTTCTTTTTGCTATTTTGGTGGGTTTTTTTAACTATGTTAAAAAATTTCAGAAATGATGATTGAAAATTGATCTTCTCTTTTGTCCCTTTCTACAGGTTTCTTCATATAAACAAAGAAAAATGATTTTAATTGAAATGCGACATTACACTCTTGCACCTCTCAGTCCACAACTCATAACGCTGCTGAAATGGTTAAATTCATTACATTTGGTTCTTTAGTAAACAAAATTTTTATTCTGCCACTATTATTTGTAGGTTTTTTCTCTATAGGGGAGTCGAATTCAAATACATTAATTATGTTTCTTATGAAGTGTGTTTCGTTCCTCAAAGTTTACTTCCTCCTATTTCATGAAACTTAATCTTTTACTATACATCATATTGATTCATGTGTCTATTGCAATTTTTTTTGCTATTTTGATGATTTTTTTTTTAGCTCTGTTAAAAAATCTAGTGAGGATGATTGAAATTTTTTCTCTGTCCCTTTCTAAAGGTTTCATCATATACTTTTTGAGAAAATTGCTTGTGGGTTGTACTATATTTCACAGCACATAACAATAAATATGTGATAAGTAATACGACACCAATGATGAAGTTTGTTAAAAGAACCAAACAAATTGTTCTCTTACTTGCCACAATTAGTATATTATTTTGATTGTTTTTTCTTAGGTACAAACATTTTGTATGTCATTGTACTCTTCCTAGAATATTAGTATAGAGACAACTAGTCCACTTCTTTTATCGCAAATTAACTAATTTGTAATATTTCTTCGTCTCTTCTTTTTGGGTATAATAAGATATCAAGTTTTCTTGAAACTAACAAATGTCCAAAATACAATACAACAAAAATATTTTTTATCGGCAATAAATATGCACATTAACTAAGAGTGCTAGAGCCTTTACCGATATTAATTCATTTTCATTAGATTCAATGTTGCTATAGACTTTAGGGACATTTATAGAGAGTACCAATTGCCTCTGCCAATACATATTTACCGACATTTAAGCTATTAATTACCGTTAAAGATCATTTTTGATGTAGTGATGACTCTTTCTTTTGATAAAGCTTTTTTGTTTTTTGATAATGAAGTAATAACTCTTTCTTTTGGCTTCTTTCAATTAAATTTGTGAACTGTAAATTTGGATACTGCCCGACAGACTATCTTTTTGAAAAATATGTTAAGCAACAAACCTTTTTTCTCTTGATTGTTAGGAAAGTAAGGTCGTCTTTATCATTATTTGAGGATATTTTTGAGTTCAAGTGCACACAAATTATGCTGCGAGATTTTAATATTTAATGTGTCAAATTTTTTGTTTAGAATATCCAGTTGTGGACTGTTCCATTCAGATGCCACCTACTACTTGATTGATAATTGCATTAATTCTTTGTAACTTCATACTATAACCATAACAATAACTATGGTTCGATTCCAACTAAGTTGGGCCGGTGATATGAAACCTAAGCAATAGTACTGACTATTCTGAGACAATGAGGAAAACTATTTATGATACTAACAATATTTGGGTCATTTTAAACATATACATGATACGACATACCATAATAAAAAAGAGTTTGGTGGAGGTTCATAATAAAGTAGCCGAAGGTCCTCAATTTGAATTTAAAAAATTATGTTCATGTATGATGTTCCACTTTACTTGAGGGTGTTGTTGTTCGAAGCTTTCTAGTCCCTTCTTTAACGTCTAATGTTGATCTTTATAACTTCTTGGAATTTAGAAAATTTCATTACTTCTGACCAACTATTTCCATAGAGATTTTCTCACACTTCTTTCTTATACTTAAAATCTCTATATGACTCACAGTTTTTGTATTAAAAAAAGGACAATTGAAAAAATATAGCACTTAGATTTTGGAGGACGCGTTGCCTTAAGATAAAATGTTCTTGACAATGTAGTGTATGTATCGAAAATACGAATATTACCGAAGGATCATATGTAAGCTTAATAAAATAGTTCAATCTCGTGCGAAGCACGGATAATTTATAGCAATTGAAAATATTTTTAAATCATTTAACAAATTTGGTTGACTAATTGGAATAGAAGAAGTAACATATATTATTTGAAAATAACGTCAAAATTTCCAAAATTCACAATAAATTAGCAACGGAATATATTTATGATTATTCACGTGAATTGGAATAGGAGTAACATATACTATTCAAAAATGACGTAAAAAATACTATAAATCACAACAGATTAATAACTTCAAATATTTTTTTTTTTAAACATATAAAAAATTGATTCATTCTTGAAATTTTATTTATATCACATAAATTGATTCAAAAAATTAACATATATTGAGCTTATGCCAACACGAACTCCCATATATATATATATCTAGTTTGGAAATATTTGTGGACAAAAGCAAGTTTAAATAAAAAATGTGTAACAACCAATAAGTTCCAACTTGGTCGTCAGCTTTTGAAACCAGCAGTGATTTACATTTAACAACCAACACTATTCATTTGTAGTCTATTTGCCAGCCTACAATTTGGCTGCAATTTCCTGCATAAACTTATATGCTTTCTTTATTTGTTTTTCCTGGTCCATGATGTTTTGTTTTGTTTTACTTTATTTATGACCGCAGAGGCACATCCAAGATTAAGAATTTGAGGGTTCTAATTTTTTATTTTAAAAAGTGTAAAATATTTTCATATTATCAATCATTTTATTAGAAATTCATAAGTTAATATACATATTACTTATTTAATTTTTTTAGTATAAATCTAAAATCTATAGAAAAAATATTGAATTCGTCTAAACCACAAACCCCTACCTAGCTTCACCTTTATTTCTGTCTTTGAGGTACTTTGATTCAAGTCAAATTCAACTCAACCGGTGTGGAAAGTGCAAAGAAACTAGTGGTCAACTATATTTGTTATTTTCTTTAGAAAGTCAAGTCTCTTCTCTTTAAAGAAAACAAAATATTAGCTAAAGTTTTAACAACCAACACTATGTTGTTATGTTGCTTATCTACTTCTTTTCTATTTATTGAGAGTATTGTTCAATATTCAATTACTCATACCTAGTATGTTATTGAGATATATGATGAGATAGATATGATTCTTTAGCTTTTAATTAAAAGTGTTGATTTTTTAAATTTTGACTATGAAAAAAAAAATCTTTATAGAGAAAAACTACATAAATAAGCCATAAAACACAAGATAATTACATATTCATATCCCAATCTAAAGTAATTTAAGAAATATTTATTCTCTCAAATTTTTTTATAGCCCATATTTCCATTTATTAAGGTTGTTAATTTTCGCTTAACTAATACTAAATCAATGTCATATACTGTATTGGTACCATTAAGGCTGATAATTTTGCTTAATTGATACTAAATCAGTATATATATACTGTATTGTTATCACAAAGGTTTCTTATTCATATATTACTCATTAGTCAATGCTACTATAATAGTATATATACATTTTTATGGTATCATTAAGGTTTCTTGTTTACGTCCCACTCAATCTATTCTTATAGTATAATTGACTAATGAATAATTTATGAACAAGAAACCTCAATATATATATATATATAAAATTTAATATAAGTTAAACGAAATTAGTTGGGAGTGTATACTGTAATTATTTAGTGGGATATGAATATAAAAGGGTATATGTTAATAATTATTTTGCTTTTACGAGGTATTTGCTTAGTTTCCCCTTTATATGTGTGACTTCTCTTTTAATGGCCTAATGTTGTATGAATTTTCTTAGAAACTTTCCCCTAAAGACGCAAAAATAGAGGCCTAATTACTTGGTTTAGCGGGAAAATATGTTTTTCAAAAAGTAACACAAAATGCATACAATTTTTATTTTAAAAATACAATATGGTAAACATATAATTGTCATACAAAAAATATACAATTATGTTGTTGTATGCATTTGTGTGTCGTGTATATGTCAACTGATACATTGGACATACAAATAACAAGCAATTTATTGGTCTTCTTCCTGTTTGAGTTTTAATATGAAATTCCAGCCAAACTCAATTTTAATCTTCGTCAAATTACCTCAAAATTGACATAAACACTTCAAAAATTTATTTTAAATAGTTGCAATAACACCAATTTTTAACAAATAACAATTTCACAAAATTCAATTTTTCGAAATCCACGCTTTGAAACTTTTTAATGGTGGTCAATAGAGCTTTAAATGAAGTTTACACTACTAATAAAAGACAAAACAAACCTCCAAAGTCAGTTATCACAAAAACTTGACCTCAAATCGTAGATCAAAACGAATCTTAATCAAAATATCAAACCGATCTCAAGAGGTCGGTAGAAGAAGGTTCATATACATTTTTTTTATATTAATTATATATAGAATCGATCTCAGCAAATCGATTCTCAATTTTTTAAAAATGCTGATCTTTTGAAAAAAAAAAGGAAGCAAAATTAAAATTCTGAACAATAGTTGTCCACTATACACTTGACACACCCCTTAAGAAACAATAAATAATAGGGGTAATACTACTGTTTTATCCTTTGACTTTATTAAATTTAATACTTTGATAAATGTGTTAGCTAATAAATAATATTTAATAACAACGATAAAATCGACACAAAAAGTAAATTATCTCTGAATTTTCCAAAAATAACAAATATTGTTAGACAACTATTTTAATATAGGGAATATTTATTATTGGACGGAGGAAAAAAATATAGGTGGAAAATGAATTCACGGCGACCACTCATGAAAAATGTAGTCCTGTAAAGTTTGCCATTGCGAAATTGCTCTCTAATTACTTTCCAACACATGCAGCTTTTCCTTCCTCGCGGCCCACGAAAAACACCCACTCACCTCACTATTAAATACTCCGTATAATTCACCACTACCAAATTACTTCCTTATTTAAGCCCTTTTTCGTTTTCTCTTTCTCCTCGATCGCCAAAATACTCCATTTTTTCGAATCAAGGAAGTAGAAAATGGCTCCTGTTAAGGTGACGATGGAGGTGGGAACCGACGGCGTCGCCGTTATCACCATTTTTAATCCTCCGGTCAATGCTTTAGCTATTCCAAGTAAGCTTATTCGTTTCTCTCCCAATTTCAATTCATGTGTTTGGATTGGATTTTGATTGTGGTGGTTTCAGTTATCGCTGGATTGAAGGAGAAGTGGACTGAAGCGACTATGAGGAACGATGTTAAAGCTATTGTTTTGACTGGTCAGTTCTCTCAATTCTGCTCACTAATTAGTTCTTCGTAATTTAGTGAGTTTTATGACAAACCTGTATCCATTTTATTCTAATTTAAGCATGTCTAAAGCATATACATACCTCCGGCAATTGTTTTCAACTATAAAATAAATTTAACTTTCTACGGGACTTGTTCATGAACTGTTCGTGATATGTTGCTTTATGGATTTTTTTAAGTTCAATTATTTGGTACTTTCGGCGTTTTCCTTAACTACGCATGGGGTGATTTTTGCATAGCTGGTTCAAGGCCAGCCTAAATAAAGGAGGTTGGTAATTAGTTAAAAATATAGTTATAATTTGATGAATCATATTGGAGTTCTAGTATTCATTGAGGCGTATATGTGTTTTTGCGTAATTATCATTTGAATTTTCCCTTGCATCTTATGTTTATGTTCTTTGTATTTTTATGCAGGAAATGGGGGGAGATTTTCTGGTGGTTTTGATATCAATGTTTTTCAGAAGGTTCATGCGAATGGTAGGATTACTTTGGTTTCATCTTTGTACATTTCAACTTGTGTCTCAGTGAATACATCCTTGTTGAAAAATGGAATTGGATTGTTGCAGGGGATACATCTCAGATGCCTGATGTTTCTGTTGATCTTGTGGTTAACACGATGGAAGGTAGTTGACACTGTTTAAATCACAATTTCAGATCCATTATACAGCTCTTTTTTCTCCTGGTGCTTCTCTGTATCATTCTATAGTCCATTGTCATTTACAAATCTCTCAATCCTGTTATTTTTGTAAGTTTAGATGGTAAAAAGCCTGCAGTTGCTGCCATAGAAGGACTTGCACTGGGAGGTGGCTTAGAATTGGCATTGGTTTGTGATCTCTATAAACTTGTCCCATCTTTGTATCTATTTCTTGGCGAGCCAATTAAGTAGTGTATGCTTTTTGCAGGGATGCCATGCACGAATTGCTGCACCACGAGCACAACTGGGGTTGCCAGAGCTCAGTCTTGGAGTCATGCCTGGATTTGGAGGTAACTCTGCCACATAATGCTTGTCGCACTTGAGTGTAGGTTTAGAATTCTCTTCCTTTACCTACTAACTAAGCATAGAGAAAATATTTCTTCTTAAGGTACACAACGTCTTCCGAGGCTTATAGGGTTGTCTAAAGCTGTTGAACTTATGATGGTAAGTCATTTATCTTCTTTTCAGTAAAACAAACTGGAACTTGTGACTTTCTTTCCCCTGATTTTAAACTCTGTTAGATTCCCAGACTAGTTTATTTGATCTATCAATTCATTTCCAAATTAACTGTTGGGGGGATCAATGCATGTCCTGGTTGGACCATGTTAATAGAACTGTTTACAGTTATTCTTGTCACTATATTGTGATTGGAGATCTCTTTGTTATGACAACTCCTAAATAAAATGGAGCAAAATTATGATGTAATGTCCTTCTTAGATGTAAGCATGGTTCAACTTCTGATCGTTTGCTGATCTCTGTGTTCTAAAGTTTATATGCTCATCCTGACAATGACCTCTATTTAGTTTCCAATATGTGCTCAATGTATCAGATTGTTTCTGTTCTTACTTAAATTTTGTAAATCAATCAAGTGAATCATCAAAATGGCCTTTATATTGCAAACAATTTTCGCAGACATCTAAACCAATAATGTCTGAGGAAGGGAAGAAGCTTGGTCTCATTGATGCCGTTGTCCCTTCATCAGAGTTGTTAAAAGTATCTAGACAGTGGGCACTTGATATTGCAGAAAGGCGCAAGCCTTGGATGCGTTCCCTTCACAAGACAGACAAAATTGGTTCCCTTTCAGAAGCGCATGAAATACTGAAGGTGGCTAGGGAACAAGTGAAACAGACAGCTAAGAATATGCCTCAGCACTTGGCGTGCATTGAGGTAATTGAAGAAGGCATCATCCATGGAGGATATAATGGGGTTCTCAAGGTATTTTTTCCCAGTCAACAATATCTTTGTGTCGTAAACACCTTCTCTCAAGATGGCATAACAACTCTTTTTGAATGTTTTGCAGGAAGCTAAAGTATTCAAGGACCTTGTATTGTCAGATACATCAAAGGGTCTTGTTCATATATTTTTTTCTCAACGGGCAACATCGAAGGTATGGTACAGTAATCCTGAACCGTGAAGGGTATGAATCTACACTATGTGATTTGTGATGCTTTGCATGAAGCTTGGAGTTCCTTGTAGGCATCTTTATTTGAGCAGGCAAGAATGAATAGGAAATTACTGGGATGACTACAACTTATGCACCCTCTAAGTCTTACCAATCCTCTAGTTAGCTGCTTTAGCTTTGACTCATTTTCTTGAAACTACTGTTTATTATTAAACTGGATTCTTGATTGCAGATTATCAATTTAAAAAAAAATTATGTATCAGTAATTCCATATTCAAGAGATTAATGCATTAGCCGTACAAAACTATCTGCTTACATAAAAAGTCTCTATAAAGAATGATTACACATGTGATTAAGCAATAGCTTGTTGATCCTTTTCTTTTGCTGATTTAGTTTGGTTTATTCTTCTTGAGATTTGATGTTGGAATGGGTTTTCTTGATGTGTGTAAAGTTTGTTATCAGTAAAATTTCCTATGGTTACATAGATTCTGTGGATCTGTTTCATGTAATGAACTTGTACAGTTACTAGTTTATATTTTATACCATTTTCATTAAGTTTGTATTCTTATAGCTTTTGATCCCCTCCCAACTTTTTACTTTTTGAAATATGTACTTAGATGTCTGCATTCCCTCTGAGTCATTCTATTCTTCTTGTGTGATGACCTTTGGTTTCATAACTGACCAGGTGCCTAATGTCACTGATATTGGCCTCAAACCTAGGACAGTCAAGAAAGTTGCTGTAATAGGTGGAGGTTTAATGGGTTCAGGCATAGCTACAGCCCTTGCCCTTAGCAACACAATTGTTATACTTAAGGAAATTAATTCTGAGTTTCTTCAGAAGGGGATGAAAGCTATTGAAGGTTGTCGTTACACTTTTTTATGACAGTTAAAATTACATACCTCTAGTCATTTAGTCGATGATGCCTGTTATTCTTGACAGTCCCTTAGTGGTCTTTATGTGTAGAAACTTATGAGGATGTATCTTATATTACAGCAAATGTCAGCGGACTGGTAGCTAGAAAGAAATTGCCACAGGATAAAGCAGATAAAGCCCTTTCAATGGTTAAAGGTGCACTAGATTATTCAGATTTTAAGGATGTGGATATGGTCATAGAGGTGAGCTGCTGAACTTATGTTTTGCTGTTAAATGTTCATAATCTTTTCCTCTTTCTCATTTGTCTTCACGCGGCTTCTTGAACACCCTAGTATGAGAAATAAAGACTCAGGAAAAATATTAGTATTCAAATACATAAAAGTATTGAGCCCTATTTATATACAGACTTTACAGAATACATAATACCTATCTACCAAAGTGGGACACTCAGTATAACTATCTAATGCAGAGATTTCAAGGGTGTACATAAGCCTTGAAGCAAAGCTCAAAACATGTTGAGCACTTCGCCTCACTTAATGTGTGCTTCAGTGTTGTCATCAAGGTTCTAATACATACTTTTCCTTGCCACTGAGCCTCTTTTGAAGAGGCAACACAAACAATTGATATTTCACTTTATCGTAATTTTTCATTCATGCTTATAATTATTAGTCTCTATACATACACACACATGTACACAATAAAAGGTCATTAAAAAGAGGGTAGAATCAAATGGCTAACAAATGCAAGTCTTAAAGGACATCCAAAAATGTAAAAAAAATATAATTTAGAATGACCGAGGATATGGGATTGGCTTGTCCATTTTCTTTTGTTTTTGCTTAGAACCCATTGACTAAATTAACAACGGGAAGAGTTTGAATAGCTGATATTTGAAAAAAGTGATTTATCATCAGAAAAGGGATGAGTTCATGACCTCAAGAGTATTGGAGTGTGAAATACAAGCAACAAAATTATCAGCAAAAAAGGTATTAGTCTGAACAATAGAGGCTACTTGTGGAGATGTCTGCATACTAGCTCAATACTTAAAAGAATTCATTATATCTTTCTTCAGATAAATAAAACATAAGTATTTTTGGGTGGTCAACCGTGCAAAGAATAGCATACTTCAGGAGTGTGCCCATGCTTATTACACTAACCGAACTTGAGTTGAGATCTTGCAAATCGACCTCCTCCCCGTCGATTCTCCATAATCTGAGATGTTCAATTTTTCATTGTTTGAGATGCGAGAATAGAGAGGAGGCAATGGTTGGTGATGAGATCATTGTGATCGGGTGATGGAGAAAGGAGAAATCAGAAAAATAGTTCATGTAGAAACTGTAGGACCAGCCAAAATCTAGTTGCGCAAGGAATCAAGGTCATTAGGAAGTCCAACAAGTGTAAGAACTAGAAACATCTTTTGTCGTTGCTCCTGTTTTTGTCAACACTAGCAATAAGTCAGTAACTGGCATTAACTTCTCAAATAAGGTCGTGACTGTCTATACCTGTCCCAATTAAGTAGATGTATCTGATTCCCGTTTCTTTAAGTGCATCCAAGATATCACATCATAAAAATGAGACATGTCATTAGTATATAAAGTGCAAGCCTTTTCTCAAATCGAACAACATGTTTGGAATGGACGAAACAAGGCCATCAATAGATTGCCACAAGAGACTACATAGTAGAGCGTCAATATTCTCCCACCGTGCTCGAGCCTTTGTTTTTCTCTCACTAGCCTTTTTTATTAAGTAATCTTGAACACCTTGACCCGTGACCACAATTCAATTGAGAAAGCTCAAGCTGAATAGTTTGAACTTCCCATTAAGGGTTTTGAAGTAATCATTGGACTTACTTTCCAACTTTCATATATCTTGAACTAAACACATCAATCCCAAAAGGCATGGTTGAATTGATGAGAGTTCTAAGCAAATAATCACAAAATATAACCGAGAAGAAAGTGACAGAAAAGTTGATGGCTGACAGAGGTTGCCCAGAAAGTCACCCGAAGATAATCTGAAATTAAGTAAGAGAGCTCCAAAAGTTCAGCCGAGCTCCAATGAGCAATAGCTTTTCTGGAAGACTGCTGGAAAACACGACTGTGGCTGGGAAAATCTGAAAACTCGCTGGAAAAGCTGACTGGAGTCGACAGATTAGGGTTTGGGTGATCAGAAATCAGCCAAAAAGGGATATTTTGGTCCTGACAGCTAGGAGATCTCCAAGTTACCAATCTGCTTAGGTCAAAGAGGATCACACACCAATGCATGGTCTGACATGTCACCGACACCGTAGCTTCAGGTGGCTCGTGAGAATGCGTGACGGTGGATCTGTCAGAGCAGTTTTCTGGGGTTTGTTCTGAGGAATCTTGTGTTGTTGTTTTTGCACAATACTGATAGAAAATGCACTTTGAGCAAACACATACTTATTCCACCGGAAAATTGCTTGCATGTACATTGCACCATGGTATTTTCTCACCAATGCTCTAATGCCATGTAAGAAATGAAGACTCATGCAAAATATCATTCAGATGCGTAAAATAATTGTCTTATACTGAGTCCGATTTATATACAAAGTTTACACGATACATAATACATATTTACCAATGTGGGGAACACAGTACAACTATTTAACACCTACTATTGCAACAATGGGGATGATCAGAATTTTGATTCTTGATTTGTTGTAATTCTGGCGGTCTCACTCTCATCTTGTTTGCAGGCTGTTATTGAAAATGTTCCACTAAAACAGAAAATATTTAGCGAGATTGAGAAGGTATGCCCTCCACATTGTATTTTGGCAACTAACACATCTACTATTGACCTCAACATTATTGGAGAAAATACCACATCCAAGGATCGGATTATCGGGGCCCACTTTTTCAGGTATGAAGTCATGCATGGCAAAGTTTTGTATAGTTGTGACTAATATGGGAAATATGACCACTAAAAGAGAAGGGTAAACGTGCAATTTCAAAAATAGAAATACAACAATGTGAAACAAAAATTTGATATTGAATACTTGCTCGTGAGACTAGCTTCGAGGGACAAGGTTTTTTTCATGTATCTTGTACTTCAATTCCTCTTTATCTTTTGCGCTTAGTGGATGGAAGATGGGATTTTTAGAAGTAAAAGCTAAATTACACTGACATCTAGGAAGCATATTATTATCTGAATACAGATAAATGAATAGCAACGTAATGATTCTGCTAGAAGAGGGTAATCTTCAAGTTATGTAACAATTCTTTGAATATAAATGCAGGCAGTTACCAATTTACTACAACAGCATCTTTTCCTGTTCCAACTGCTAACTTGGTTTTTGTTGTGGTCAGTCCTGCTCACATTATGCCTTTGCTGGAGATAGTACGAACTGAGAAGACATCTGCCCAAGCAATTCTTGACCTTATGGCTGTTGGAAAGGCAATTAAAAAAGTACCTGTTGTGGTGGGAAATTGTACTGGATTTGCTGTCAATAGAACCTTCTTTCCCTACTCCCAGGGTGCACATATTCTGGTTAATCTAGGAGTGGATGTCTTCAGGATTGACACGCAAATTGCCAGCTTTGGTCTCCCTATGGGTCCCTTCCAGTAATTCTCTTCCTTACTAAATTATCATATGTAGCTGCATTTTCATTTCATACAAGATAAAACATATCAAAACGAAACCGGGTAGGTGATCTCTGCTGATGCAATTCTTTTTCATTTCTTTAGCTTATAACAGCTTTAAGATGACTAGTCCTTGTGTTCCATTCTATGTAACACTCCATCCTTTTGGTTTGTTTAATTCATTGACATCTTTCTATATTTGGAAATGCTTTAATATGCATATTCCCATCTTACCTTTAATGTCATGCTCTGATAAGAATGATGTGGCATGACGGATATCACAAGATTTTAAGATATTTTTGGTAGGTAATATTCATATAGCTTATGTGTCAGAAGGCTTCTTTCTTTCTTAAACTCTGTACTTAGTCAAACACCAACATACAACATGGAATGAAGGGAATATTATATTTCAATGATACAAATTTCTAAATGCATCCACAGACAGAAATATCAGTGAAAATATTGTTCAGATTCAGTTTTCTATACATCAAAAGGGAGTGCCATGTTTCTTGACTTGTTAAGAGGCTTTTACTGATTGATTTAAAAGCACCCAAGAGTGTGGCCTGGTGGTGGTCATAGAAGTGGGTTGAGAATCATGGCTCTCAAGTTCAAATCCCAGCGGAGAAAAAAACACTAGGTGATTTCTTTCCATCTGTTCAAGCATCTATGCTGGTGAGGTAGCGGTTACCTAGTGGAATTAGTTTAGGTAAACACAAGCTGGTCCTGGCGGCACAGTTTTTTGAAAAAAGCTGGGCATGTCAACAAGTGGTTCTTCCCATGCTATCACAGTCTATGTTGCTCGGACTCTTAAAAATGTCAACGGGTGCGTGTTGGATTCGCCAAAAGTAGTGTATTTTTGACGAATCCGACATGGGTGCGGCATCAAAAGTGAAGAGTCCGCGCAACTAAGATCACAGTACACAAGAAAAATTAGAGAGTGCAGCAGTTGTCTTCTGTTATATATTATAGGTTGAGAATTGAATAGGTGCATGCCTCCTGTCCCTTTATTTTAGTTGGACTTTGATGATTGTTATAATATACTGCATTTGTTTGCTTAGAAATTTTGTAAGGAACGCAGAGGGAAACAGTCATCTTCTTTGTTAGTTGCTATATTAAGGTGTTTGTTGGCTCAAATGGCATGCTTTGTACTCCTATCCATAGCTATTTGTAAGGAACGCAGAGGGAAACAGTCATCTTCTTTGTTAGTTGCTATATTAAGGTGTTTGTTGGCTCAAATGGCATGCTTTGTACTCCTATCCATAGCTATGTTAGTTTGGTATGAAAATAATTGCTTAAGCATCTTGCAGGCTTCAGGATTTAACAGGATATGGAGTGGCTGTTGCTGTAGGGAAAGAATTTCGTTCAGCTTTTTCTGATCGCACTTTTAAGTCTCCGTTGATCGACCTTCTTATAAAAAGTGGTAGAAATGGTAATGTTGCAAGTCTGTATCTTTTGTGTTGTTGCTTCACTGTCTTGCTTTTCACCATTGATACTGGTTTTGCAGGTAAAAACAACGGAAAAGGCTACTATATTTATGAGAAGGGAAGTAAGCCAAGACCCGATTTTACTGTGCTTCCAATTATTGAGGAATCAAGAAAGCTCGCCAACATAATGCCTGGAGGAAAGGTATCTCTATCTAAGAAAAACACTTGCAAAGGAAAAATCTCTATCTAAGTAAAATGGGTTTAAAGATGCAGGAACGGACTATATGTTCAAAGGGGCCTGTTGAGTTCTAACTTAATGAGAATAACAGTGTTTGTCTTTTTTGTGAATTTTCTCGCAGCCAATATCTGTCACTGACCAAGAAATTGTTGAGATGATACTCTTTCCAGTTGTGAATGAGGCATGTCGTGTTTTGGATGAAGGGATAGTAGTCCGAGCCTCTGACCTTGATGTCACATCTGTCCTTGGAATGAGTTTTCCATCTTACCGGTTAGTTTGTCTAAGCTTTTCTGGAAATCAACACTAATTTGTTACCCTCCATATTAGAGTCACCCTCCATATTAAAGTCAAATTATGTCTTGAAACTTGTTCCAAGTGATTACTAGTTACTACTAGGGATGTTAAATGGGCGAGTTGGGCAAAATTTGGGGGGTCAAAATGAGCTGAGATAACAAGTGGGTTGGTCAATGATCCTTCCAAAAGTTACTTGGGCTGAAATGGTTAAGAAACGTGTCATAACCAGCTCGACAATTCTTACTATATTTTTAGTTTCTTTGTTTATTTTTTTGTACTTTGTTTAAGTGCCTAATAAATATTTTTGTTTATTATGGATATATACAACATATCAACAAAAAAAAAAGTCGTCTTACAAATATTTTGATTAGATTTCTCATGGGTCAGTTTTAGCTATATTAGCACAACTTTTAGATTGCTGAATTGAGCAAGTCAAAATGGAATGAATTAATAAATGGGCGGGCCAGAATGGGTTAGGTGGGGTGGGTCATGCTTTCATGGGCGAATTACTACTGATTCAGATGTGTGGACAATGGGAGCTAAACATGAAATCTTTAGAAAGCTTTCAATAGGATGCGAGGGCTTGTGCATCCTTAAGATAGAACTATTAACCAAAAGACATGAAGATAATTACTCAGAAAGAAAAGGAAAAGGAAAAGGAGGTAGAGTGGAAAGAACGGAAGGATTGGGAAGAGTCTTAAACTAAAACAGCTACCACTATATTTCCTCAACTCCCGAAACCTAAGGATGAGAAATCATGACCTTGTATTTTAAACCCTGTCCTAACATTTCGTATCTGGTAATATTATCTCTATTAAAATTTTAAACATCTACAAAATGATTTTGACAATGATGCTGTTTTTGGCAGAGGTGGTATTGTTTTCTGGGCTGACACTGTTGGTGCTGGATATATCTATAGAAGTCTTAAGAAGTGGTCAGAACTATATGGTAATTTCTTCAAGCCCTCAAGGTTCTTGGAAGAGAGAGCAACAAAGGGCATCCCCTTGGTAAGAACTTGACTCATTACCATTATGCATTTTAAGATCTTTCAAGCTGTTCACTGTATCTTTGCTTCAAATTTGTTCATTCTGTCTATTAATTTTGATAATCAATATGCATATACAGTTGAAATTTCAATAATTGATTACCGTAAGTATCAATAGCTAGTTAGTAGTCACCAGTTCTGAGCTTCCACTGTTGCCAAACCAAACAAAAAAAGGGGCTGTTAAGTCATGTTTTGAAGGGATAATGAACTAGGGAAAGGACATGATGATGTAATTGTTGCACTGTCCCTATCTGTCAACATCATCGATATGTGGTCAATCTGGGACAAAACATTGCCGCTGACTGCTGTTAGTTGCATTCATTTTAACTCAGATTGCTTGTCATATTGTTCTGTGCATATGTTAAAATCATTACTGATTGGTATATCATTCCTTGTGCTGCAGAGTGCACCTTCTTCTACGTCTTCAGTTTCAAGGTCACGCATGTAAGCAGTGTGTACTCAATGTTCCTACAACTGGGAAACAAGATGAATTTGAAATATAGACCTGTAGAGGGGCACGTAGGTCATGCCTATAAGCAGTGCAGGTATAGTGTATTGCAACATTTCCGTGGCTCCTAGTAGAGTTCATTTTCAAGTTAGTTGAGTGAATGCACCAACTTTATATATTCCACCCCCACCCCCACCCCCTCCCCCTCCC